TAACCTTTATTCATGACAAAACACTACCAACATTAGATGATCTACCAACCTCATCAGACTCTGAAAATAAATGGGAAAGACAGACACACCCTAATGATTTTTATAAAGCTATATTTTATACAGATGGATCAGCTGTAAATTCTTTAGCCGAAAACAAAAATAAATCTGCAGGTTGCGGTATTGTAAAATGTGTACCAGGACAGGTAGATCAGACTTGGTCAATACCCATAGGTGATCATTCAGCACAGTATGCCGAAATATATGCATATACACATGCTTTAAAGGAAAGTATGTCAATAGTGGGGCCGGTTTTGATAGTGACAGATTCAGCTTATCTCGCAAGATCCACTGTACAAGATCTCTCAGTCTGGCGCTCAAATGGTTTTCTTACAGCACAACGTAAACCGTTGAAACATATTTCTTTGTGGAAACAAATTGATGCATATTTGCAAAAGAAACCTGACATTGAAATTGTGTATGAACCTGCACACAGAAAGTTAGGTTCTTCACCTCATACAGTTGGCAACCAGCTGGCAGACACTTTGGCGCAAAGTGTCAGCCAAAGCTATTCTGTTAATGTGGTCACTAGATCACAGAAACATACCCTTTCTCTCAAAGTAGATGCAGAGTTAAATGCTTGCCTGGATAAGACCAGACATAATCCAGCTGGCTATCCTACCAAATATTCCTATCATTTAGAAGGAGTTGATTGTATAGTAACCATTGATGGTAATAACTTCATTGTTCCCCCTGTAAAGGAGAGGGAAAAACTTGTACTAGAGGCTCATTCAGGATTAGGACAAGCTCATTTGGGTAGAGATAATGTACTTATTACTCTGAAAAAAAGATACTGGTGGCCCAATATGAGAAGGACTGTTGTTCATGTTATTGGTAATTGTAAGCAATGCTTATTAGTGAATAGACCGAATCAGTCAGTCGTACCATTTATTGAAAAATCCATACCCAATGTACCTTTTGAATTATTATATATTGATCATATTGGACCTTTGCCACCATCCCATGGTTATAAATATGTTTTAGTATGTGTTGATGCATGTACCAGGTTTACTTGGTTATACCCTGTGCGAAGTGCGACCTCTAATACCACGATTGCTAGTCTCACTTCCTTGGTATGCATTGGTAAGCCTAGGACCATCCACTCAGATGGTGGTCCTGCATTTACTGTAAAAGAAACCCAGAACTGGGCAACCTCGTTTGGGTTACTTTGGGAAATCAGTGCACCCAACCACCCTCAAAGTTGTGGGGTTGTGGAACGGAAAAATGCTGAGGTGAAAAGACTATTAACCAAGTTGCTAGTTGCTCGCCCCACACAGTGGTATCCACTTACTCCTATGGTACAATTGGGCATTAACAATATACCTAATACTACTAATGGTAAAACTCCATATGAAATGTTGTATGGTGTCCCTTGTAACACAACTTTTACTGAACATATTTCTGCACCAGGGAGATTAGAACAGCTGGTTCTGTTAGATGAAATTAGAGAATTGTTTTCTCGACCCACAACGCACCACAATCCGTCACCTACTACTTGGGTTCCTACTGTTGGCCAGTTCGTCCTGGAGAGGGTCCATACACTACGCCCCCTGCGACCACGCTGGAAAAAGCCTGTGAAAATCGTGACGATTTTAAATCCGAGAACTTTTATTACGGAGAACAAACAAGGCCAACAGAGAACAGTAAGCATTGATAATTTAAAACCAGCAAAGTATTTCCAAGATGTCCACAGAACCATTGACCCTGACACAGTGGATACTGTCGAAGGAAGCAAGAGAAACACAAAAGAGGATGGAAAAGCAACCCATCTCACAGCCTCGCAATAGACCAACTCATGATCAGATAATTGAAAATGCAAAGGAGAAGGATCTACGAACAAAAAATGACATATTTACAATTGCTATGGAAGAATTGGAACATGAATCATTATTACCAGAAAAACAGACTTTACATAAAGTATGGAACACAGTAAGAAAGAAGTGCAAAGATGGAAGCAAATGGATACTGAAGAATTGGATGTGGTGTCTCTTTATTACTATCTGCTGCATTATCATGATAACATCAACCCTAGTAGTCGTTTTGAAACTGCATTGGGATTATGTTAACAACCAAGAAGCTCCCGTATTGAATTGGACTGCATACAATACAAGTTCCATGATCGTGAGGATGACCTCCAGGAACCATCTTATGAAAAGAGACACAATTCACAGCGAAGTAATCGCCAATGTGACATATTCTGGTATTCCACAAGGAACCTATTGGAAACCATACCCAAAACCGATTATACACAAGAAACAAGTGATTGGACTATCTCAAATCCTAATACTAGACTCAGCAGTGATGGCTAAAGATGCTGGAATTAAAAGTGAGACGGGACAGATGCTTGTCAAAGAAACTTTGGATGCACATATGAAGGTGATTCAAGAAAAGACTTTGCCATATAGTTTACCATTGGATGACTATCGCAAACAGCCTTCTTATGCTGAAAAGATGTGCTATGCTAATTTTGGACATTGTTATTATGTTAATTTCCAGTCAAACAGAAGATGGCCGGAATCAGAAATAAAGGCTGATCACTGTCCACGTCCAGGTATTACCCAAGATGGAATACAGTACAAAGAATACCTAATTGATTATTTAAGCACCTCTCAGTATAAGACACAGATTTTTACCTACAATTCAGAAAAAATTGGTTACTGGGAAGGAGCAGAAGAAGAGGAATATAGATTTCCTGGTGGAGTGAGAAACCACACTGGAACCATATTCTGTAGTATTGAACTTTATAATGACTCATGGTGGCGTGTGAATTTGAATTCAGATGAAATACATCAATTAGTGAAAGAAACCTTGCAGCAGGTGATGAGCAACAATAAGACAGGCCTATTAAAAGCAGAAGCATTGCCAAAAGAATGGAATATGAATGGTCAACAAAAGCTTTTTAGAGACTTGACCCCATGGGACACTTGTACTAAACCCCGATTTGCAGCATTTCTTAACTCCACATATTATGTACATACCTGCAAAGCAAGGAATTCCTGTAACATAACTACAGAGACATTGATAAAACAAGGAATCTGTAATGGTTCTAATCCAGATATAATCTACCGTTGTGCTCCTTGCTCTCTCTGGTATAATTATACCAATCAGAACTTTAAATGGCTCCCTAAAAACATAGACCAAGGATTTTTGCTATATTCTGGACTTCCAGGAATGTGGTGCATCGAGAGGAAACCGATAAGTATTAATGCAAATTATTTAGTATACTCCCTGTATCAGAAATGTGTCAGTGACAGTATGATATATAATACAGATATTGTAATTAATGGTATAAAAACTCAAATGTATGTTTTAATCGCTAATGAAGATAGACCTTGTGAATTTCAGAATTGTACTTTACAGAATGTTGCAGAGATGCCATTTGCAATCGCAGCATGGCCTACTAATAAAACATTTTTAGATATTACATATAAAAATATACAAAATAGTGATCCAGATGAATGTAACATGAGACGTGTGTCTCGCAGAAGAAGGACTTTGTTAACCAATGCAAACTCCTTCCTATATACCGGCCAATTACTTGTAGAAGCTATTCAGGTTGTATCCCATTATTCTGATCTAAATGATGAATTGCTACGTCAAGGTATATTGATTCTTAAAGACCACCTGATAACGCTTACTGCAGCATTAATATATGATATTTCTACACTAGAAGAAAGTGTGAAAATATCTATGTTGAATCAGAAGATTTTTGATATTCGATCTAATTTACAAAATGGTTTAATTGATACAAGTCTGGTTAACATAACTAAAGTGCTTCAAAGGTTAAAATTAACTAAGAAACAAATCGAAGTGTTGTTGCACATTTATCAGACCTTTGTTTATGATATCAGAGAAACAAAACATTTAAACAATGCCAAGGTTAGCCAGTGGGAAGTTAAAATTTATTATGAGTTAACTCTTCCAGGTGAAATATACACTACGAATTGGAAGCTTGATAATATAGGTCACCTGTTACAAACAGGTGAAAAGTTGGCAAAGATAACAATACAACATCCATATCAATATATATCAAAGATATGTGATCAGATATATTATTTGTCTGTTTCTAGATGCCTAGAAAAAAGTTATGTAATATGTGAAGATGTCAAAGTACAGACTCCTTGTGGAAATAATCCTGCCACATCAGCTGATTGCTTACTTAATATAGAACCAATACAAAATGATTATCTGTACTTTGAATCTTTAAGAAATGGTTCTTATTTAATTATGAGTCCTTATTCAGATTGCAAGTTACCTGCTTTACAACCATTAATTGTAACCACGGATTATGACATTTGCTGTTATGGAAGATTGTTAAAACCTCCTTTACAAAATTATAAACTAACAGATATCGTTAAAATACACATACCCCCAATATCTTTAAAACTTCCATATATGAGTGCTTTCTTGGCTCACTTACAACAATTCAAAATCACCTTATGCTCCACCCACGAGCAAGTGCAAGATATATTAATAAGAGTTAGGCTTTCTCTTCTCAATATTCAAGACCACGAGAGAGATTTCCCATACTGGCTGAAAGAACTTGGTAAGATATTGACTCCTATTTTACCTTCAATTGGTAAAACTGTTCAAAGCATAGCTGAATCTTTAGCGAATCTTGTTAAAGGGGTAATAGGAACAGGATTTAGTAT